CGTGACGAGAACGACAGGAGATGCCCAGGGGTTGCTAGAGTGGCGAATAACATCGCGGCGAAGCATGTCGTCGACTTGCTCGTTGATTACACAGCGTTCTGTGGGAGATACGCGATATGGACGTTGCCGCAGCGGTGGCTCTGCGTCTGTGTCGATGCGATGCGTAACGGTGAATGTGCGGCCGAGAGAAGGTTGAGCGACATCGAAAGAAGACCGGAATTCTTCCAACAGGCCCAAAAGCTGGGAACGCTGGCCCGGCGTGAGGTTGTCGGGTATGAAGGGACCGAATACATCATCGGATGATGAAGCAGATGTCGAAACAGCACTAATCGTACAGGAACTTGAGCAGTGCATGTCATCGGGTTGATCCATAACTTGCGCGTCTTCGATGGGTTCCACGCTGCCGAGACATTCCCCTCGCACCAACGTAACGCTGCATGGAGGTGAGTTCACAACAAAAATAGTGGTGCTGCCGTGAGTGAGTTGGACGGTCGCGAAAGGAACCAGCAAGCCTTTTCTTATGAAAACACGATGTGATGGCGAGAGGAGTGCAGCGGTGTCAGAAAGGCTTGCGCAGTGGAGCGACACCACCACGGACGAGTTTGCAGGCACTTGAGCGTCGTCTCTGACGAGTAACTTGCTTGCAGCAGATGGACTGTCGGCCGGCGTCAAAGAAGAGAATTGCGTGAGTTCTATTTCTGCTGGTGCGCAATGAATGACGGCGTCGTGGCGGGAGAAAATCCCATCCTAGGATAACGTCGTGAGAGCATGAAGAAATTATGATGGATTCGACCGCATACATCACGTCCTGAATCATAAGGCGGGCTGTGCACATCGCTGTAGGGTGAATGCTTTGGGCGCTGGCTGTACGGAGGGAGAGCCCGCAAAGCGGCGTGGTCACTTTGCGCAGCAATCGGCTAAGTTTTGCGTCCATCACGGATACGGCGGCTCCAGTATCTACAAGGGCAGATCCACGAACGCCATCCACAAGCACGTCTATCACGTTTGACGGGCTTTCCTGAGGGCTTCCGCAGTTCGACAGTGTCTCAGCCCTTGCCTCGTGGACTGCGATGACTAATTTTTCTGGTCGCCCTCGAATGGACGTGGCCGCATCGGCGACAGTGAGCGACGTCGTGGAGATGGTGAACGGCGGGTAGATGGAACGGGGCGGGACGACAGTGACATAGGCGGTGGTTGGTCATAAGAACGGCTTGATTGGCTGGGAAAGTTGGAGGCGACCTGCGGTTGCTGCACACGATTGCAATAGCGTGCTACATGACCGACGCAACCACAAGCAAAGCAGATGGGGCGATTGTCAGCAGTGCGCCATCTGTTCGCGGGTCCCATCCATGTCGCAGAACACGATGGGCGAGCCGGCTGCTGATATGAGTGCATGGTAGGCGGCACTCGGGGCACGTGGGTGACGCCGGCGTATGTAGGCGAGACAGTTTCTCCGAAGGTCTGGGGCCTCGCGACGGTGTCGGTGTAACTTAGGGGAACAGCGACAGAAATCGGTGGGGGCGGCCTGGCGACAACTTGGGCGTAGCTGAGTGGCGCAGATGCAGGAGGCGGCTGGTGGTATTCAGGGACGACCTACGCGATTTGCTGCTGAATGGCTCGGCGTAGCGGAGGTAGAAGTCTACTTGATGGCTGTTGAGCATGTTGTGGGGAAGCAAAAGCCAGTAAGGAGACCTGGCGGGCAACTTCCTCACGCACGAACGACTTGATTTCGGCGAGCAAGGTTGTCTGGTCAGGAACTGCTGACAAGGCCGAGAGATCAGCATCACGTGGTGGCGGTCGACGGCTCATCAAGCGCTGCCGCCGCAGCTTGTCGTAACTTTGGCATAACGTAATGACCTCTGCCACAGTGCGGGGGTTCTTTGCCAGGAGCATGGTGAAGGCATCGTCGGCGGTGCCTTTTAGAACATGCGTGATTTTGTCAGCTTCTGACATGTTCAGGTCGACTTTCTTGCACAAGTCAAGGATGTCCTCTATATAACTTGTGAAGGACTCGCCGGTCTGCTGGGCTCGTTCACGTAAACGCTGTTCAGCTTGCAGCTTACGAACGGCCGGACGGCCGAACACGTCGATGACTGCGGTTTTAAAAGCGGACCAAGTCGGGAAATCAGATGCGTGGTTGTTGTACCACATGCCGGCCACACCCGCGAGGTAGAAAAACAGGTTGCCGAGTTTACGTGCCTCGTCTCAATGATTGGGGACACTGACGCGTTCGTACATGGCCAGCCAGTCCTCGACGCCGGTGCCATCCGCGCCGGTGAAGGCAGGAGGGTCACGGATGCGGGGGACACCGGGACATGGCGTCGGCGTAGGAGGAAGCGTTTGCTGGGCAGCGTCTTGGTGCATGGTTGCAGGCACGGTACGGGATCGAAGCTCCAAGGGCATCGAATTCGGACCGAAGGTGTTTGAAGGGCACAGCACTCTCCACCAAATTGTTAAGAGGTTTATTGGCGGACACTTCGCGATGATTCACGACAGCGACAGTGAAAGGGGGGACCGACTCTCTGCACGAGCTGTTCTTCTTATGAAAAGGGAGACCCACTAGAAGGCGCTGGAGAGGATGACCCATTGTTCAAAGGCTTTACCACAATATATATATATATATATATATATATATATATATATATATATATATATATATATATATATATATATATATATATATATATATATTACGCGTAAGCTTACTGTAAATAATACAACGTCATTACAGCCTAGATCTTGAACTTGGCTGCTGCTCACCGTTTTGCGAAAAGCACCGATAAGTGTGTATCGACATTGGTATCGATAAGGGAGCCGAGTCACGCGGGACAGCGCGATATTCTGTGGGAGGCATGCGTCACTGGCGCACGCACACATAGAGCGGCGCATTGACCCGCGTTTACTCAACAGCCTCGTTCCTCAGCACGCCGCTTTTTCAGCGATAGCGCGACAGTAGCAACAGCAGTTTGCGAACACGAAAGGAGTCTTTTTTTTTTTTTTTTGTATATGCCATGCTGAGTGATCATTTCGTAACCGTCAAAAAGTTGTAACTATCTCTGGTAGCTATCAGATACTCGTCGATAATTTTTTTTTGCTTCATTGACAACTTTGTTTCGTTTGAAAGATTGCCTTTTTCATATACTTATTCATTTAAACTGAGAATGTTTGTTTTCACTCAGTTATAAGCAATGTTGCTATTTGGGTCAACTTTTCTAGCTTACCGCACAATCACGAAATTTAGGACTGTTTTTTTTTTCGACATAAAGAACGTGATGCGGATCCTGACACATTGGTTATTTTTAGCACCACGATTGCCTAAAAGTTCCTCTTAAGAGTAATTTTGGCGTAAGATATGTGTTTGTAAATGCGGGCCTAAGGCATTATCCGGTGCATCGCTGTGCATGCCATAGTCGTCAAATCTTTGATTTGGTGCTGATATTTTAACTTTATGAGTAATCAGGTTAAGAGCATGCGTTCGGTTATAGCAGAGCTGGTGTTCGTGTAGTGCAGCTTTTTTTAGATTGAATTGAACACACAGCACAGCGGACAGGAATGACAGGCAGGAATGGAATTATGATTATGTACAGAAGCCATGCGAAGCAACGAATGAACGTCCCAATTGTATTAGTCGTAATCATTGCATGTTAATATACCGTTCAAATGCGCATCGCTAGAAAAGAATCCAGGCAACTGGCTGTGGTTAAAAAGAATTCGGCAAAATCCACGTGCAATTGGAATCGACGCAATGCGATGCACGTGGAGGGTAAGTGACCGGGCAGTAAATTTTTTATTGAGCGACACGTTATGAAATATACCTACAAATGTGGCAAGCACAGACGTATGTCGAACAGTTGCAGATGTTTGAATAACCAGTTGTTTACACTTGCGAAGCGATGCCGACAGTAACATGAGTATGACAGTGAAAGCTACTATGAGATCACAACTTGGGTCACGCGCAGTGCCGTAGATGTCCGCCGCTGCCGTCCGTAACTACATCGCGCGAAATCAAAACTGAAAAAAAAAAAACTAACAGCAATGACACCGCGGAGGCTCGAAGCCGGGCCCGCTGGGTGCTAGCCCAATATTCTTCCACTGAGCCACGCCGGGGCTTGGGACTGTCGTTCTATGTCTTTCTCTGTTTGACGATTTCTTTCTTTGTCTTTCTGCGTTTTTATCCTCTTTTTTCAATTCTTTCCTCATTGTTTCCCTCTCTATCTTCCCCCCTCTCTCTGTGTATTCTTACTCTAGACATAGTATCACATTATACGCGGCTATGCCTGCTCTCTCTCTCTTTTTTTTTGTGTGTGTGTGTCGGTGTAATTCTATGTCCTACTGTGACACTCTCTATCTGACTCTTTCTTTTCTTTTCTGTGATACTGTTTCTTTCTTTTTGTTCATATCCTTTTCTTTATCTCTCACTTTCTCTTTATTCGTTTTTTCGCCCATCATAATTGTCGCATCAGAGGCTGGACAAATCAGGGCATATGTGTTTTAGCAGCGGAGCAGAAGGTGAAAAGCGGCACAAATAAAGCGCGTGTAGGTTTATGATATTTTTCATGACACCGCACGTGCCATAACGAATGGCTTAGCAGCCCCCGGGCAAAATAAATGGACTTGTTTCCCACTAGAATTTTCTCCACACCGAGGAGTACGGAAAAAAAAAAATCCATGTATCCAAGAAATGGCTGCTTATAAAAGGTTTAAAATGTCTTTTCACCTGCGCTTCGACAATGCACGGCGCCCGAACAAATTGAAGCCGAATGAACATCGTGAGATATTAAGGAGCTTTGCCCTTAAAAACAGAACGCTTTAAGACTAATATTTTGTGTGCAAACGAGTGGAACAGATCCCACTATTCGATCGCTAAAGCAGTCGCCTCGCAAAACCAAAAACCGCTAATGTTTTTTTTTTTTTTGAACGCGAGCGATTGCAGCGCTAGTTTTTACACCGCGGGTCGCTGACACAACGAGCATTAGCGCATCACACACGCACTCGTTTTTCTTACACTATGCGCGCTCTCAATTTTCGCACCCTGGCCTGCAATTCTTTTGTGTGCTCTTTTTCATGACTCAAAGGCAGCTGACTGTGTGCATTGAAACGAAGTCATCGTAGTGACGTAGCGCGACCGTATGGCGCGAGAGTGACTCCCATTCCATCTCGGGGACGACGATTTCTGTACGCTAGTCCCGCACGAGGCTTTTCGACGGCCCTCGCTCCCGCCTCGTGAACGACATCGTATCGCTCGAAGACTTTCGTATGTAGCTCTCGTAGACATTGCATGCTTTCTGGACTTGTACCGCCAGCATTTACCGCAGCTTTGATTCGCTTACTGCATCTTTTGTAGCCTCCGTTGTGTCGTCTGCTGCTAGCCGCTTCTTTCCTTCGCACACTTTCTACTTATAACGCAGGGGCAGGGTCTGCCATTTCCTCAACGACATTTGTCTCAAAAACTCGCCAAGAGTCGTCTATTTTTGTACGTCAATGCAAAAACATTCCAATGTATCGCTGGAGTGTAGTATCGCGGTAATTCATGAGGCGTCTGTGCATGCGAGTGTCGGTGGTGTCGATTTCGTCTGCCAGAAAAGTGTAGTAGCGCACATCGATTAGTGGAGAAACATTTGTTCTGTCAATTTAATCCGAAGCGCGATGCTACTGTAGAGCTCCCTTTCTTCGTATTTCAAAAGTCAAATAAATATTTGATTCTCACACCCCCGTCGTTGATATCCCTCAACTTATATCCCTCAAACCGACTAAAACTGCTATAGCTTGTGCTGCTGTTATTTTCTTTTTCTCTGCTGTTACAAGTCCCTGATCCTGTTTCACTTCGTTTTGTTGAAACTCTGGGGTTGACCGCGCGAGAACGACGATGTAACATGTCTCGCCGCAGCTGAATGTTCCGTATGAATTCTGACCAGCCCGTGTTCTCTTATCGCCTGCGCCTCTAAGGGTCCCTTCGCAGGGAGACAGCCATAGATGGAATTCAAGCTCGCTCCGTCTTGCATTGCTTGCGTGAAACTACAACCGCCGAGTTTTGTCACGGCGTGTACTTTAGCATGTGTGACGGGGACTTGTGCGTCTGTTTATGTCCGCTTCAAGCAAGCCTGCAAGAGCGATTAAATCGTATGAACGATCGATCAACGTGTTTAGCGTTTCGAACGTGTGCGTGTTCAAGATATTTCGTTAAAAAAATAGGGAGGACGGTGATTGGTTGGCAAAGGGATGGGAAAGGCCCGGGTAAATAACGCAGGGGTGCACCACTTCCCTACAAACACACACACAGGCAAACAGATCGGGGAAGGCAGATGCAAAGGAAAAAAAAGGGGGGGGGGGGGCGCTTGAAGCGCTGCCATCTTGAGGGCGCTTAAAGCCGCCGTTCTGCTGATAACCTCCAGCTGACGCTTTGTGTTCTCTTTCTTATTCACGTGTAAGGGTGCAATGTTGGAGTTCAGATACATGCGTTATCGATTTGTAGCGGTTTGAAATGTGACTCAACCAGTTATCATGAGTACGTGTAAACGAAGGCAAGAATTATTGCGAAGGTATTACAATAAACGTCGGTGTTTGCTACCTCCACTTTGTGAGAAGGTACAGAGAGGCAAGAAGTTGAAGAACGGACATCCAAGCTCATCTGGTCACGTTTACCACGCAAGCGCCAATTAAATCTAAAACTTGAATTCAACTTTAATTTCTTGATAAGCTGTAGTACTACATGAATTCGTGTCCCGCTCATGTGGCTTTGCGTCTGGCGTCATAATTCTATATGAAAAAGAATATGCTGGAGTTGTCACACGGCCTCCTCATTCGGGCAGGACAGATTTGCATCTAATCTTTCAAATGTGAAACATTTCTTGAACGACCAAAAGCATTTCGAGGGTATCTATCTATCTATCTATCTATCTATCTATCTATCTATCTATCTATCTATCTATCTATCTATCTATCTATCTATCTATCTATCTATCTATCTATCTATCTATCTATCTATCTATCTATCTATCTATCTATCTATCGCCAGCTGCATACATATTGCTGGGCGCCCCCGTAGTGACCTTAACATGATCATATACCGCTATTAGCATAGGAGTACGTGAGGGCAGGTTGAAGGCGATTACCTGGTCACTACACGAATAACGTGCCATGCCTGCCGCGTCTGTTGTGAAACCTGTTGCCCCAGTCACTCTTGGCGCATACCCGCATACCACGGCCCGTGGCATACGGGTGTGCCCCACAAGTGAAACTAAAGAACAGCGAAAATAGGCATTGAAGGGGCTATGATCAACCATAACAATACTCGTCGCACTATTACGTGCCAGAACCACGATATGATTACGATCCACACCGCCGTAGTAGACTCCGAATCAGTTTTGAATATCTGGGGCTCTTAGCTGCACCTTAATTTTAAGCATACTGGTGTTCTTGTGATTTCGTTCGCGCCAAAATGATAACCGCCGTGATTGAGAATCGAACCCGAGCACCCGAGATAAGCAGTGAGACATCTTTCGTGTTAAGCTACCAAGGTTGGTAATTTTATTGTTGCACTTCGTGTGCTTTAGACATGGCGACATATTGTTTGCTCTAGCTGGCGATTTCAACGCAGCAGGCAATTCGCCGACAAACGCGCTGCAGCAAACCGCAGCCAGTGACATTTCGATACAGATCCTAACGTATTACGCGGGGAGTCGTGCGTGGTGACGTTTTCCTAACCTCAACTGTGGTTGCAGCGTTGTCTGGCTGTTCTGATAGCAATGTACTCGTGTGACTCAAAGCTACGGTTGCAGTCAACCACAAGCCTTTAAAAACCATGTTGCTGAGTTCCTCTTCGCGGCATTCTTTGCTGCGTAAGAGATGGCAGCGCTACGTCTAAAACGCATCTATATGTGCTTTAAAGGTACACTAAATATCAAAACGATTTTTCGCGTTTCAGTAAAGTATATTTACTCAATCCAAAAAACTCCTCTTACCGCGTCACGACGGTTAGCCAGGATGCGCGCGAAATAAAATGTGGTATAGTGATGCCACCCTGGCATTCCCGCACCTAACAGCGCAACGTCGTAGATTTTGAAGGCGTCCGATATGTCCTAAGTAGCTCCTAATTGACAAGATATGAAGTGCATTATAATCTGTGGGTGCCACAGACGTAGCATACGAATATTCAGGAACTTTAATCGGGCCAATTGATGTCGCGAAAATACGAAAGTTTATTTTAAAGTTTTTGACGTCACGCCCTATGATTTGGGCCCAAAATTTAAAAATGTAACTTCAACCTTGCTTTTCTCCGCTGATATTCACCCTATTAGAGTTCTCAGAATGCAATTTGACAATCTAAAGCAAGCCATATGCTTCGCTTTGGGGTCCCTTTAATCGAGGACCTGGTTATTTTCACACTGGGAACGGATGTTTTCCTCTTCCAATTTTTAGCGCGACGCGATCTTCGGCAGCCGTGGCTACGTGTCTGTACTTACGTAAGAAGCGGACGCTTACGTGGAGCCCTGCGGCCGAGCTACTGCGCTGCTTTCAGAGCCACGAGTTGGTCAGGCTCGATAATATATGTATTTGGCATAAATTAAAAAAAAAACTTGAATAGAATTTCTTTCCGATTCTGGCATTTGAAGCCTCTCTCTCATGCTTCGAAGACGAGCGTCTTTGCCGCTAGGCTACACACCCACGCTTTATTAAATTGAATACGTTTCCATAAATGAACGCACTGTATAGGAGCGGCACAAAACAAATGTAGAAAGTCAAAATACTTCTTATGAAGACTTTACCGATTTTTAATTAAACGTCCTTTGCAGGGCTTGATGTAGAGCTGGCATGGAGGATTGTACCCTGCAGTAAAATTTTTACTTAAAAAAAATTCGATGTCAAGCTTGCGTTTCGGATTGTCTTCCTGAGGCAGCTTTTACATGCATATGCTGAATAACGGGTGGAAGCGAGATTAGGCCGGTATTTCCAGCATGGAACTGTTTATTTGGACGAGCTTGTGGCACGTAAGCGGAAACTCGGACCACAGCAATACGCACTGGCACAGATAGCGGCGAAGTGAGCGTCTGACGTCGATCAACTGATAATCGTTGTTACGTTGTAAAAATGATCAACAAACGTGAACAATTCCCGAACACTAAAGCGCGATCTGCGCCGAGTATTGCTCACAGTCTTTGTCGGTTTAAACCGAGCACATCAGAAAAACACGTGTGGCAATACACAGTAAGTCTAGTTTGGCATAAGGTCACCATATGCGAACATTTTCAAATGCGGCTGCCTGGGCGCCGCCATATTCCTTTCTGGGCTGCGCGATCGAATCGGCGTAAACAGGACTAAAGAGAGAAAGTAAACAGATACTTCAATTCATGCAGCATCAAGGGTCTGTGGTCGCCAACATGGTTAAAAAAAAAAAGAAGCATGCGTATCCATAACGCTGGGCATTAAAAAGTAGCTGATGTCGAATTTCCGACAAAGGTGCGGGGTCAAATGGGTGCCCCATTAGGGGATAATTTGGTTGGATGCTGCAACCCTGCACGTCCCCTACTCGAGCATGCATCCAGTATGTAGTCGACGCTGCCGGTAAGCCAGCCAACACAACCGCTCAGTTCACTCAAAGACGTCCATCCACTTGTCGTAGCGCTTGGTTAAAAAAAAAAAGATCGCCGCATGCGCAGCACTCTGCTTGGCATGGAATCGAATCTCCCAATGCGTGATATCTGCCGGACCTTTTCTTTCCCTCGTCATCTTCTCCTGTGCATGCAGAGCAGCCAACCGGACAGGTTCACTACCTAATTGATTGGTTACATCCTCCTTATTTTGATTGATACGTGGGGTTTAACGTCCCAAAACCACCATAAGATTATAAGAGACGCTCCTCCTTATTTTCCTACCGTTACTTATTCAAATGTCTATTATGGGGAAGACCTTTGATAGAAAATTAGATATTGCCGTTTTGTGCTCGAGCGATCGATGCACGCTTTAAAGAGGGCGTGACTACGATATTCATGTCTGTGGTATAGTCGTTGGGATGTAGCATATAGGCAATTTGGTGTACGAGTGCTTCGCCTTTCTTCCACGTCCTTTTCACCGCAGAAAGCGTCGTGGCATCCTTCATTCAGTGGCTGGCATAACGCCAGACAGTGATTATGCATGGTGTGTTGTGAATAACGAGAATAACGGGGAAAAAGTCTGAAAAGCATCTAGACATATGGAAATCTACATGCTTTCCATTGTGTTAGGTACCTTTTTGCAAGCAACTTTAATCCCTCATGCCATTGCTAGTTATACGCAGGTGCACGTGTCTGTCCATTGTTTCTGTTGGTGACGGCTCTTTTTTCGTTTATGTTACGTTGCCAGGTATCACAAGAATTCCACCCCAGCACCACCAAGCCCTTTCTGAGTGCACTGGCTCTCGGCAAAAAAAAAAAAAATTAGAATACTATACAGCGCTCGAACGTACGACTGAGTGGCCGCTGATACAAGTCTATTAACAAGATAACTCCTTAACTAGAAAGTCCAGACTCATCTCAATTGGAACCACTATCATTCAAGTGAGAAGGGATAAAGTCGACGCAAACCCTCTCCCCCCTTGACACCTTCACGAGTGACTAGCCTGTCGACAGGCTTTCAGAACTCTTCCTTCCGCACTACCGTGCCGTTCAAAACATGTCGGTGGAGACAGGAAGTGGGGTTCAGTGCGGGGAGGCAGAAATCGAGGAGCTCTTCAAGAAAGGCCTGAAAGAGCACGAAGAGTTCAGCAAAGAGATGTGCGCGTGGAGCGAATGTTCGCTACGCGGCCAAGCGCTGGACTTTCGCGAGCTCAAAGAGGAGGACGCCCGCGTGCTTCGGAGCATGTTGACCTCGGGTCGGCCCGTCAGGAAGCTTTCCATGTGGGAAACCTCGCTCGGCGCGTTCAAGATCGCGTTCGAGGACCTCGAAGGTTGCTCCTCGCTCGAAGAGCTGCACATGTTCGACATCGACTGCGATGAGCAAGATTTCGGCGTCAAGCTTACCGGGATCTTCGAGAACTTGCATTCTCTGGAACTGTACTGCCCGAACATCAGGGCGGCGTTCGCGAGGGACATTGCCGCTTTTCTACAAGACAACAAGAAGCTGAAGGATTTCACTCTTGGTTACTCCTGCGGAGGCGACGAAGGTGCCGCAGCCATCATCGAAGCACTAGAGACGAACGACACACTCACGAGATTAACCTTGGTGGACGTGAAGTTGTCTTCGGAGACAGTCATCGCGTTTGCGAAGATGCTGACGGCAAACACGACGCTAGAGGTGGTTGACCTCTTCGACTCGTTTCTCGTGGAAGCGGGAAAGGTGTCGGCGTTGCTGGAGCAAGACCTCTACAAAGACGTCTTCAAGAGGCTCCGCATCCTGTGGACCGAGGAACTGCTGCCCATACTGACGGATCTCATCCGCCGAAAGGCCTGTTGGCACGAGCTCTCTCTCCGCGTCAGTGCTTCAGTGGATCGCGGCATCCTACGGGATTTCTTCGATGCCGTGGCCGAGGACACGACCGCGACCTTGCTGCACTTCTACCCAAACGAGGACTCGACGTTCGACGAACTCGCTGATGGCATCGCCTCGGTCGTTAAAAGCACGAAGACACTCCAAAAGATTCAGAACCTCATGCGCGTAACTCGGGGCAATGAACAACAGCTGATCGACGTTCTGGACGCCCTAAAGGATAACCGGTCGGTGACGATGTTCAACATGAATTCCGACGCGCTGACGCCCGAATTGGCGACGTCGCTGTCCGAGTTGCTGGCCGTCAACGACACCTTGAACGAGGTCTTGGTCTGCCAGCATTATGACATCACCGGGGACATCTTGGCAACTATTCTGGAAGGTCTGAGACAAAACTACACCGTGACGCTGCTAATGGTTTCCTGGGACCCCGACGACGACATCGAAGGCGTCCCCGAGATGAAGGAGCTTCTGAAAAGGAACGCTCGTCTTCACGAGAAGGCGGCCGACTTTGTCAGCGCTGGCGGCGACACCAAGAAGGACGCTGAAGGAGCGGATGCGCTTAAGAAAGTGCGAAAGAGCGCCAAGCTCGTTGAAAGGGTCCAGGGGCTGACGGGAAAGACGAGCGAAGCTGCGTTGGAAATGGTGCAGGCGGCCTTAAAGACCGTGTTGTAAAGATAAGACGTGTCTTACACAAAACGTGCAGTGTGGTGTGGGTTGATTTAAGGCTTTAAGAACGTATGTACGCGTGGCGTGTGCTACGGATAAGAACCTATTGCGATTGACGCTCGGTTGCTCATTGGTAAGAAGCAGACTAACTCTCCCACCGGCGGAACAATTGCCGTGAGCACTTCACGCTCCCAGGTGGGCCTTGCTATGAGCTGACTCGTAGCCCTAGAAGTTTTGCACCATTCATCGGAAGATGATCAGCGTATTGTGCCGAATAATGAAATGTTGAGCTTTCGGTTTGTGGTGAAATGATTCATAATTTGTTTTGATTGATATGTGGGGTTTAACGTCCCAAAACCACCAGTGGTGAAATGATTGAGGCTTCTTCATTTTGTGCATAAATAAATGGGACGTTGCGATATGCTTCGAGTGAGCACTTTTTGCCAGTTTCTTTCTTTCCTTTTCCTTCCTTTCTTTCTTTCTTTCTTTTTCTTTCTTTCCCTTTTACTGTCTTTCTATTCTTTTCCTTCTTTAATTCTTTCTAATACTGGAACTTGATGGACCAAGTTCTTGTTTTTCACTGCGGCACAATATGTCTCGCTACGCGCAACGCCACTGAATTTACGGTAATAAACGTATTTCACGCGAAAGAATGGTTGATTTTATTTCTTTTTTTTTATAGCGGCTTTGAGGAGTTGCGGTTCCGGCTCTTGGTGACGTTTCTTCGATGATCCAAGCACCATGCATAGTAACGTCTCCATCGTCAGGTTGTCGACTATATTTACACAAGAGTCTTAGTACGTATGGCGTGTTTCAATGTATATACTCTCTGACGTTCCTAAACGTTTCAGAATGTATGCCACGATTCATGCTGCGAATGCAATTTGATTAGGCAAAGATATCCCGGTTACACAACCGACCTCAACCACAGAGAAAGCTTTCATGCATAAAATTAAAGACGCCCCATGATATATAACGAGTACTTGCAACGATAAGAAATGAGGACAAGACACGCACACACACACACGTACGCACACACATATGCACGCGCACGCACGCACACAGACTGTATAGGTATCTATTATGCGCTTCATCCTCATCTGGACAGCAGTCAATCATCATCACCTGTTCTGGCTGACAATCATCGTCGTCTCTGAACGTGCGCCTCATCTTCGGGTCCACTGCGCTTGTTCGTTCCCGAGTTCGCCGGCAATAAACCTCGTTACAACCGAGTCGTCATACATCTGATTTTTCAGTTTGATTTTTATCGAGACGAAGCTTGATATAAATTTACTTAAAAGGTTCCTGAAACACTTTTTTGAGTAACCATGGAATTAATTCACTGGAAAGGCGTATTACCTCGCAAATTGAAGGCTGCAAAAATTTTTAAGAATCCTCCCAATACTAGCGGAGTTACAAAGATTTGTCACGCGCTGCAATCACATTCTCTCTTCTCTCGTTTCGACGAATACGCTGGAAGCTGAGCAGGAAGGGATGGGAGGGGCAAACAAAAAACCTCACGAGCATATGTTATGGGAATGCACACAGATACAGGACGCCAGTGCAGTCTCCCCAGAACAGCTTGGGGCGCGGTGGAGAGCCGCGCTGATCAGCTCAGATCGGACAGATCAAATATGGGCCATCCAGCGAGTACGGGGGGCGGCTGAGAGACAGGGTCTCTCCACCGCCCCTGGCGCGGCTTAGGCCCACGTCTCAATCCGCTGGTTAAATAAAGTTTGCTCACTCACTCGTGCCTCGTGACTTTGAGCATTTTTTTTTCTTTACTTCGAATACGAGACTTTATAGGTGCGATCACGCGCGCACGCGTGGACAAGTACGGGATGGCATTTCGCGGTGACCTGTAACAACCGAGCACGCCATGTTCAAATCATGCGCGCCGGCATGGTGCCGGATAGATGGGATTACTGGGCTTATTTTCCGTGATTTGTCGAGAGAAGAGAAATCTATTTTTAGCTGGCTTTGATAATTTATTGTGAATTCCAGGCCACGTGCTGTGCTATAATATTTTGCTCGCGTGTTGTCGGGAGCCTATACTACCTATCGGCAGCATTTTCTGACCGTGCTGAAAAAGTGTTGCAGGGCCCCTTTAACTGATGCATCACCCATGAATAGGCGACACTGAGGAAAGCAGCATTTTTTAAATGCGAGGCATTTCTTAGCGAACTTCAGCGACTTTGAGCGTATCTATCTATCTATCTATCTATCTATCTATCTATCTATCTATCTATCTATCTATCTATCTATCTATCTATCTATCTATCTATCTATCTATCTATCTATCTATCTATCTATCTATCTATCTATCTATCTATCTATCTATCTATCTATCTATCTATCTATCTAGCCGCCTACGACTCTCAACTCTCCTGGCCATTTCGAAAACGGTATCGATACCATACTTGGTATGGCATAACATGACTGTATGAAGAACATATTTGACTGGTCATATAATGAAAATCATGACATGTATGTCATGAATGTCATGATTTACATTGCATGGTCCTGCAGCTCCTGCGGTGGTTTCGTTCACATGGCATGTTGCAGAACAGGTATGGTATGACATGATTGCATGGCGAACACAAGCGACAGACCCTAACATGAAAACGATGACAGGCGTGTCATGTAACAACATGACAACATGCCACGTTCATTATGCGCTCGTGGCCGTTTCGCTAGCGTCACATATACCAAATTTGGTATTACGGTACGTGAATGGATGACCAAGGTCACTAGTGCAGACATGATAGACATGAGGTGCGTGTCATGTAATATGAGTACATGCCACGCTCATGATGTGCTGGCGGCTGTTTCGCTAGCTTCACTTATACCAAAATTGATATTACGGGACGTAAATGGATGATGAAGGTATGATACTGGTGCAAACACGATGAACATAAGATGCGTGTCATGTGAGAACATGACTACATGCTACAGCCAAGGCGCCAATACATTTCGACGTGACGTGGTGCGCGTGCTCGCCGGCGTTCATTTCGTTGCGTCACGCCGGCGTTGCCACACCAGGCGCTGCGTTGCTTTGACGCATGCGCGTTTCGGCGCGTCCGGCATCTCTCCGTCACGAAAAGAGGGAGACGCAGTGTTATCTGGGTAATGCATCAGCACGAAATGCAGCATGTTGCATTTCGCGCTCACGCCGAGGGAGGTGCTGCAGAGCCTGGCGCTGTCAGTCAATGTGGGGTGAAAACTGGTCACACGAGTGTTGACCCTTCCGCTGTCCTTTGCTTTGCTCGCACGCTGCACGCGTTCTGCACGTGTTTTTGAGAGTTTCGCGTAGCGCGCGGTTATGATGTTACGCTTCTGTCCGCATTTAGTGGGATCGCCGCAATCGAGGATTTTTTCTTTTCGTGGGAGCAATTTGGTTAAAGGGCAGCGTCTGCTCAGCCATGTAGCCGATGTGAAGCAAATTGTAGCAGACGACGCCGTCCTCGTCAGAGCGAAGTGCGTTTCGCAAGTGAAAGACGACGCTGTTTACGTCGTGGAATTAGAGGTGGATACAACTTTCTGTACGTTCACAATTACATACCTGTTTTATTTGGTTTGCTGTGTGTACTATGCATTATATTTGTTACTGGATGCATGGGTAAGGCCGCTTCTCGTGCTTTAGGTTAAGCGGTTCTTGCACTGTGACTGCTGTTAGTTGGGATACCTTAATTCACTAGCACCCATCCAAGTTATCGTGTGGTATATACACAGCACTTCAAAAATGGTCTATTTGGGGCTTCGTTCTGACCCACAACAAAAATTTACATCTATCTCGCGTGTCCTTCTTGGCATTATCACCGTTCTCATCGCGGGTACTTCGAGTTCACGAACAGTGCGTGTACCATCACGATGAGCGCCCAGCTTTGAGAGAAACTTTTTCTGTCTGTGTCTAATCTGCGGGGGAAGAGCACATTGCTATAAAGGCATTTTATCTTGGTCCCTATCGAAAATGCACTGTTTTGTACGGGCTGCGCCTGTACACTCAGTAACAACTAGTTCACTGTATCTGCCAATGGGCGTGCATCAACGGCTAATGAATTTTTTTCTTTTTTTTTTTCGTAGTGCACGGGGGCAGACTTGAGTCATTTTTGCAGTTTCCCACAAAATGTCTGCTACAAATAATTTTCCAAGCTTTTGGCAACCACACACTTCCGTCGGCGCTGCGTAGATATGAAGATATTTAACAACACATCACCAATACCACATGTGTACACAGCTTCAACTACTACGTCTCCAAAAATATCGAATAATAGTAGTGGAATAAAATATTTCTTTGCAATTTTTTAACAGTGCTCTAAAGACATCCGGATGTTGAAAATTTATACTTTTAAGCTGGGGACTTGCTTCTCTCAGTAACTCGATAGATTAGAGGAACGGAGACGCAGGAATTAACACTCGTAATTTTTAATGCATTGTGCGCATTAAAAAATTGTTTTCTTACTTTTTTCGGCGCCCTGCTTCAATCCATTCTTGTCGTCTGCTTGTGTCGTACCATCGGTTTGGGAATCGGTAGAATTTCACTGGTGGAGTCGACCCCTTCGTATTTGCATGGCTATTGTGACAGTTGACGACGCAGCAATAGTTCCCCCCTTTCTGTTGGGGTGACATCGCGGAACGAGGGACGTTTCACGTGCAGCGCGCGCGCTTCGAAAATGCGAGGCAGCCAAAGGGAGCGGAAGGGTCGCTACACGCTACTGTTGTGCGCTTTTTCTGGCAGGGGAAATGCAAGCGCTGGCGTCGGCGGGCAAACTTGAGCGGTCGCGTTTTGCTAACGTAGCATCGCTGTGCCCAGCGTTCACGTGCGTCAACGCTACATTGGAGTATATTGGGCCCTTCATGATGTGCTCACGGCCGTTTTGCTTGCTCCACATAAACCGAATTTGGTATTACGTGACGTCAATGAATGACGAAATATGTGACTGCTGCAAATATGATAATCCTGACACGCGTGCATGTAAAAACATGACGACATATCGCGCTCGCGGTCGTTTCGCTAGCTCCACATATACTAAATTTGGTATCACGTGACGTGAATAGATGACGACGGTAAATCCAAACATGATAATCATGACACGGAAGTCATGCACGGCATCAGTTATCTCCATCTCGTAATATTGCGCAGATTTTAAAGTGACATATCAGCCTTTCTCATTCGTGCTTCGATTATAATCGCTTGCCACTGTGGGATCTGCCATTTTTTTTTTTTGAAACCATGTCGTTTTTTTCAGGAATTTAATTGTGCATATAAACAGCCGTTAATGAAAAAAAAAATCATCGCTGAGTACCACAATACCTCTGAAGAGATTACTAATTGTTGCAGTGCAAAAACTTCAAATAGTGAAGAGAGTTCAACACTCCGTAGCGGTGGTCAAATCCATGGTTCAACGAAAGGATGTATTTTCAAAGTACATA